GTCCGGACTGACGGCTAGGGCCTTCACCACGTCCTACAAGCTCAAGCGGCACCTGCAGTCGCACGACAAGCTGCGGCCCTTCGGCTGCCCGGTGGGCGGCTGCGGCAAGAAGTTCACTACCGTGTACAACCTCAAGGCGCACATGAAGGGCCACGAGCAGGAGAGCCTGTTCAAGTGCGAGGTGTGCGCCGAGCGCTTCCCCACGCACGCCAAGCTCAGCTCGCACCAGCGCAGCCACTTCGAGCCCGAGCGGCCCTACAAGTGTGACTTTCCCGGTAACCGGCGCGGCGGCGGGGGCGGCGGGGGCGGGGTCCTCTGCGTTTCTCCTCCCCTTTCCCGGGTTTTGGGGAGGCACCGAGCCCTGCACGGAACCCTGCATCGCTGCGAGGTTTGGGCTGCGCGGTAGCTCAGATCGTGCCTTCCCCAGCTGGAGGGCAGCACCTCCTCAGGTGTTTCCGGTTAATGAAGCTGCCGAGGAGTCTTCCCCGAGACTCGAGTCGCCAGGCAGGTCTTTATTTTCCTGGGCTCGTGGTTTGCTCCGTCTTGCAGGGACGCAGGGCGGTCCGGCCCCACGGAAGACCTTCAGGCGCTGAGGGGATCATCGCGGGTGTATGGTGCATCTGTTTTTGTGCCTTTAAAATTTTTATTTCGTTTGGGTGTAAAGTTTTGTCAAGTTCTGAGAATGCCTTCATCTTAGAGATGAAGAGACTGAGGCCCGAGCAGGGTGGATAAAACCCGGTGGAGGGGGTCCTTCCCGCCGTGGGTGCCTGTGAGCTCTGCCACCAGGATAGGCAGGTTGAGCTGCTCCCAGAGGGACAGGGGCCTCTGGAGGGGAAGATTCCTGCCTGGGAAGGAGGGGCTGGGGGGTTGCGGGAAGGCAGTACTGGCCGGCGCAGCTGCGGGGCGCGGCAGGCAGGGGACCTGGGCTGTGAGGACAGACAGGTGCGGAGGCCCCCCGCATCCCCTTAGTTAAAAGAAAAGTTCCCGTGTGTGCCTAGCACACGCCCAGCGACTCTCTCGTGTCATATACCTGCAACGCTTTCCTAATAACGAATATGTTGTGAAACATGGTCAAATGTAGGGCTTTGGAAAGCGAAACAAGAGTCAGGTGTTTCCAGGTTCTAGTGTTCTCCTCGCCGGTGCCTGTGGGCTGTCCTGTGCTCCCCTTCTTCCTGGAGAGCATGGCTTTTGGCCATTGGTTCAACACCTTTCTCGGTCCTGCACTTGGAATCTGATGGTGACTGACGTCCGGCTCTCCAGTCAGAGGCCCAGAGAGCGTCCTTCTGGGTATAGTGTTGGGAGGGTCAGGGGTGCAGCCTGCTTCAGGGCCTGAGGTCACCCTGAGGGTTTTCAGGTGAATGATGGGTGGGGTGTCAGAGTGGGAGCAGAAGAGGGACCCAGAGCTGAGTCCTGAGGGCTGACCCAGTTGGAAGCAGCGGGCTCTGGGTGCGAAAGATGGCAGAAGTGGGGCCAGAGGCTTGACTGTCCTTTGGGGTAGGGTGGTTCTCACTGAAGCAGAGAGACTGTGTATGTGAAGACACCAAAGCCAGAAATAGGGAAGGAGGGGTAGATTTATGCCAGAGAGGGGGGCTGGGGGCATTTGGGAAGACAGGCACTTCCCAGTGAGGTGATGCTAGGAGGGCGGGGCTTCTGGGCCGGTGCTTCTGCGCAGGGCCGCGCAGTATGCCTCTGCTCGGTGTGGACGCGCACCAGGTGTGCAATGAAGGCAGCAGAGACCCCTGCTGAGCACCTTGCAGCCCCGTACACTCTGCCCTGTTTGGGAACTAGTGACCTGCGAAGTTTGGGGGCTCAGCCCAGTAGACGATGCAAGTGCCGGTAAGGCCATGGGAGTGGGGTGACCCTGTGGCTTTGCCAGAGCAGGAGCCCTGAGGAGGCAGGCAGAGGGAAGAGGAGAGAGGCTGGGTGCCGCGTGGGGAGGGTGTCGGGGAGGACGTTCCTAACGGCAGAGGTGCAGCACCTCTTCCGCGGGTGAGTCTCACTGCGTGGTGCTCTGCGGCCCTCCCAGGCCAGCCTGCTTCCTTGGTGCCTGATTTCTCTCCTTGGTTTTCTTGGTCTCACATGGGGCAGCTTTGGCAGTTGAGTTCTCAGTGGAGGTGGGGTCTGTGCACAGACTGGGGACAGATGGCTGTGCCTGGAGGACTTTGGATCAGATGCCTCCTCTGCAAGTCACGTCAGGACAGGTGGCCTGGGTGCACCCAGTGCTTGTCCCCAGCCACCTCGACGTGAGCCGTCCCGCCACAGACTCCAGTGTCACAACTGCCTGGAGTGCTCCAGAGTCACCTTCTTCCTCGTCTGCTTGGGTGGGAGCAGCCGCCCGGGTGGTGACTGTTTAGCTGTGATGTGATTTCTGTCCCGACGGTGAGCAGGTCTGTGTCTCCTGTTCAGGCTGCGAGAAGACCTTCATCACTGTGAGCGCGCTCTTCTCCCACAACCGGGCCCACTTCCGGGAGCAGGAGCTCTTTTCCTGCTCCTTCCCTGGGTGTAGCAAGCAGTACGACAAAGCCTGTCGCCTGAAAATACACCTGCGGAGCCACACAGGTGAGAGTGGGCGACGGGGGCCGGACCCCCACCCGCCGACAGCCCCCATCTGTACTCACGTGCTGGCGTGTCTTCCCTTCTCAGGAGAAAGGCCTTTTGTCTGTGACTCTGACAGCTGCGGCTGGACCTTCACCAGCATGTCCAAACTCCTGAGGCACAAAAGGTGATCTTGACGTTTTGGTTGAGTTCTGAGACTCGAAAGTGACTGAATTGTTTGTCAGTAAGAGGAGCCCGTGGATACGATAATCTGTGGTCTTTGTTAAGTTACAAACAATGAAGCCCCGCGTGGATGATGTTGATAATTCAGAAAGCTTATAAGAAGGAAACCTCTCAGGATCTGATCACCTGAAGTCAGTTTTTTCTGTGTATACTCTGCTAAATTTGATGCGTACACTTAATACACAACTTGATGTTGTAAAAAATTAACATCACAGAACAAGCCTTCCTTGTGTCTTTACAAACCTCCCGTGGCGGTGGCGGTGGCGACGCCCTTGGTGGGCTGGGCCTGTGCAGTGACGTTCAGCATGTGGCCCATGGCCCGTGGCCCTCGTTCAGGCTCCACAGCAGCTCTGACAGCTCCCGTTCTGCTCAGGGACCTGGAGAGGCTGGCCGTTCATCCCTGCTCACACGCCGGGGCTCGCAGCGCTCAACATAAAAGCACCACCCGGAGGGAACCCCCACTTCCGCGTGGGCTGAGGGCGCCTACGGCACTGTGGTCTCACCGTCCTCCGTGGTGCGGAGCGCTTGTTTAGTTTAGGGGCTTCTGAACAGTGGGAGTGGCTTTATCAGCCCCTTGGGAGCCACTGTCCCTGGACTGACGCAGCACAGTGGCTCCATGTCTGACCATAGGGTTGGCCTCGTCATTACAGTGGAATTTCTGATTACAGGGCAGTGGATCTGCCCGTGTGGGCTGGAGAGAAAATTACGACTTTTTTGAAGTGTGTTTTTTTTTTAATTAAACTCAAAGACTTTGTAGTTTGGTCTGTCCTGCAGACCTTTAGACGGGTAGTGGGCCCCAAAGCCTGGTGTCCCTGGCTGCGAGTGCTCACCGCTGCCTTTCTGTCCGGGCAGGAAGCATGAGGATGACCGGAGGTTCACCTGCCCTGTCGAGGGCTGTGGGAAGTCGTTCACGCGGGCGGAGCACCTTAAGGGCCACAGCGTCACGCACCTGGGCACCAAGCCCTTCGTCTGCCCCGTGGAAGGTAGGTGGCACCTGCCACCCAGCGCTGTGGGCTGGCACTGTGTGCCCTTGCTCTGTGCGGGTATAAGTCCTTCACAGCGGGGCATGGGAGCTGCGGCATCGTGCTGACTTGAGCGGGGTTAGCAGACTGCTCTCCCTTAGTGAGCAAACTTCACAGCCAGGCCCGCTTGACTCTTGGCCCCATGGAGCTCTCACTAAACCGGCCACAGCTCTGCTGAGCTGCCTGTTTGATTTGGTGGCTGTGATGTGAGAGTTCAGCGGTTGTGATGTGACGTGTGAAAAGTGCCTGTTTGGAGTCTGGCACGGGTTGTGGACTCGGTGAGCGCAGCTCCTTGTGCGGGGCCTGGGCAGCAGCAGAGCCGGGCTGGTTATGCTCTCAGAGCCTGAGAGCTCGATGCACTCCCTGGTGCCTCGGGGGCTGTCCGTGCTGGCTGCCAGTATTGCGGATGGACTGGGCCTGTGGGCCGGTCAGCCTGTGCTGGTGGAGTTGAATCCTGACCCCACGCTCCTGAAGTTGGTGACCTCAAGTAAGCTTCTCTGTGCCTGAGGTTCCTTTTCTGGAGAAGGGGATAGTAAAGACCTAGTAGTAGCCATCCGGTTCCTAGAGTGCAGGAGACGTGTGTCAGGTGTTCTCACCCAGACTGGGTTCTGCCTCCATCAGGGCTCCAGTTGGGGTGTGACAGGTAGGCAACTGACACGCAGGGGCTTGGTGCACAGAGGAGGTCACCTGAACAGTTCTTGGGCCTCGGGGCGTGAGTAAGATGGCTAGGGGTAGAGGCAGGAGGGCCGGTGTGGGTGAGTCTCCCAGAGCCGCAGGGCAGCCAGCTGAGTGCTCCAGGCAGAGGTGATGGACCATGCTGGAGTTCAGGTGCCCGCCGGTGTCCTGGGCAGATGGGCTTTGGTGGTGGGAAGGGGAGACGGTGTAGACGAGGCAGTCGGGAGTTGGACGGTGCTCAGTGGCGGGTGGGGACGCAGGAGTTGGGTGTGACTTGGAGGTTCGTCCCCACGGGCTTTCTATGTGCGGATGTTCAGGACGCGGGGATGTCCTGTGGGGCTCTGGGCGAGCGGGGAGTGAGGCACACCTCATGGAGCCCTGGCAGCGGACACGGGTCTGGAGGAGCAGCGCATGCCATATGCCCGCACGGCGGGGCCCGGCAGTGGAGCGTGTTGCCGGACTCCAGTCTAGGTCTGCGCGACAGCTCTGTGACCCGGACAAGCTCACCTGTGAAGTGAGGGCCTGGTTGGTGGGCAAGTTTAATTAGGGTGTGAGAATACATCAGTAAGTTTCACCCATTGCTGCTGTGATACTGCTTCTCGATACAAACCGAAGGCCTGGCTGCAGGGCTTGCCATGAACTCTGGGAGGAAGGTGGAGGGAGCTCTGGGAGGGCCTGAGGAGGGCCCGAGGCACAGGTGGGCCCTGGGGCTGAGGTAGGACGATGTTTGGGGAAGGAGGCAGGTGGGCCGGCGTGAGGAGCTGAGGGCAGTGGTTGGCGAGGACCCTGGAGAGCCCAGGTGAGGCGGGGACAGCTGTGCCCACCCAGCTCTAGAGGTAGTGGAGGGAGAGGGGCAGGACTGGAGCTGGCTGCAGGGGTTTCCTCCTGGGAGCTGCACCCTCGCGAGCTCTGAGCCCCTCTGACGTAGGGGGTAAGCAGGGAGTGGCAGAGGGTGGTCAGCATGGATGATCAGAGGCGCTCTTTTCAAGGGAGTGGAGGCGGAGGGGCCCCAGAACCCTTTCTCAGACTTGCTGACAGCTGACAGTTCTTGAGTCTGGAGGAATCTATGGCTTTCTCTGATTTTGTAGACGTTTGAAACGTTCTGTATTAAAAAGTTAAAAAACTGCCACCGGCCACTTTCCACAGGAGGAGGAGAGGACGGTGAGCTCAGCAGTGAAGGTGTGGGGAGGGGCAGCGTGTGTGTGGCGGGGCCTCGCGAGTCTCCAGTCTGCCAGTCTGCCTGTGTGCGTGGTGGGTGTGACTGGAGTGGACCTCGGGGGGTTGGGGTTTGGAGGGAAGATTATCTTTGATGAGTTGTTTCTACCCACCCCCCTGGGTGGCGGTAACTTGGTGTGAATGTGGGAGACTGTGTGTCTTTGATTTGCAAAGAACTGGCGTGAATCTCAGTAGACTGTGTTGCAGTTAGGGAAAGGCAGGCACTGACACACGTGGAAAGCGACCACACTCCGGCCGCAGAGGGAAAGGCGGATTAGAATGAGAGGTGTTTGACCGCTGTTGCGTTAGCAGGTATCTCTACAGAGGGAAACTCTGCTGGCAGGAGTGTGGTGGGCGTCCCTGCGCTGGGGAGGGCGGTGTGACAGGAAGTGTGCCCTGAGTCCGCGCTGGGAGCGCGTGAGGGACCGCATGATGCCCGCGCCCCTGCACCACGTGGAGCCCGCCGGCCTGGGCACGGACCCCGGGGTGCGGCCGGGGCCTCTGCTGTCTCTCTGTTGTTTCCCACACGGCTGTCTAGAGCCTGACCTGGAAACAAGTTTGAAGCTTTGTTTGAAAATGAAGTTCAGAACTCCTCTCAGAGGCAGCCAGCCTGTCCTCACATGGCCCTGGGCCCCGGCGACCCCTCGCCTCCCGAGACGGGCCTGCCGTGACTAGCTTGGAGCTTTAGTCCCCGCCTGACGGAAAGGCTGGAGACCTGGAAGGGAGGGGAGGCTGCACCACGGAGGCCTGGGACAGAGTTGGGCTCCAGCGCCCACAGTCTCTTTGTGGTCCCCGTGCCCTCACATGGCACCCCCTCAGCCGGACACCTTCCTGGCTGTGGGGCCACCCCTTGTCACCTCAGATGTGCCATCTCCTGAGACCTCCCCCTCGGGGGTGCTGTCCTCTGCTTCTGGGACACTTGTTGGCCAGACCCCTGGCCTCATCCCCCTTCCTTAGGCGGCTGGTGGCTTACGTGTCCCTACCAGGTCACACGCTCATGGCTGTGTCCCTGCAGGGGAGCCCCAGTGGTGGGAAATCGGGGTGCAGAGGAGGGTGCCGTCCCTTGCTGTGCCTGGTGTCCCTCTGGCAGTGTGTGTACCTGCTCTGACTGGTCACGCTGGCTCCGGCCTCTTCTCTGGGTGCCAGTCCCTATGGGCATCAGTCTCTCAGTGGTGAAATGAGAGGACATGGCTTTCCTGGTCTGTGGAGATGGTCCCCAAGCCCAGAGGACAGAGCATCAGGGTTTTCTTTGGGTGGGCCCGGTGGGGAGGATCAGGGTGGCACAGCGGGGGAAGGGCACGTTGGCAGCCGCTCTGGTGGCGCAGGAACAGGCCGAGTTAACTCGTCCAGGGCTGCATCTTGCCCGTGGCTGATGCTGGACCTCACGTCTGCATTTAAAAACAGGGTTTGCTTTTGAGTGCAGTTCCTGGGGATGTTGCCTGGGGCATTTGCCAGAGGCCAGAGCAGGACGTGCCTGTCTGGGTCCCGACAGGACGGACGTGTGACCCATTTCTGGGCCTCTGTCCAACGCGTGTGCCTCTCTCTTGCCCAGGGTGCTGCGCCAGGTTCTCCGCACGGAGCAGTCTCTACATTCATTCCAAGAAGCACCTGCAGGACGTGGCTGCCCCGAAAAGCCGGTGTCCCGTCTCCAGCTGTGACCGGCTCTTCACCTCCAAACACAGCATGAAGGCGCACATGGTCAGACAGCACCGCCGGCCCCCAGGTCGGCTCCGTTCACCCCTCTGAGGGCGGGACACGTGAGACCAGATGCGGGTCCTTCCTTGGCTCCGCTCAGAGGTCATCTGGCGCGTGGCTAGGTGGCTCCTGTCCGGTGCCCTCTCCCAGGCCGGGCGCCACAGCTGCCGTGCCTCGTGGCCTCTCCTGCCTCTGACCCGTAACCACTCCCTTGTCTCTGAAGTGCTGCCCTTGAAGGCTGTCTGTCTTCTGCATAGTTGGCCTCTCTGGCCTTGTCTCCTCATCCTCCGCCCATGCGACCTGTCCTGAGTTCCGAGTCTTAGTCCCACTGCCTACTCCTGTCCATCCTGTGGCCCAGGGAAGTCCTCGAACTTGAAGACAGAACAGACCGTGTCGGGAGGGCAGAGAGGGGACCAGAATCTCGTGGTCGCCCAGGGGGATGACTCTGGGCACGTGGAGCCTGGCCGTCCCGCTCCCTGGCGGCCTGGGACTTAGAACCCTGCCTGTCCAGGCCAAGTGCACGTCCCCTGACAGGGCTTGGGGAGTCGGGGGGCCCCGTGGCTGCCTCTGCCCTAGAGCCCTTCCCAGCCCTGCTCCCTGGGGCCCGAGAGACTTGCTGCACCTGGCGGGGCCTGGTTGTGTGACAGGCGCTGGTCTGCGAGCCACGTGTCGCAGGCCTTTGGACGTGGTGTGACGTGGCCGTGTGTCGGTAGGTGACAGGCTGTCACAGTCTCACCTCGTGAGAAGTGGGTGCTGGCGGGTGTCCGTATCCTGGGCTGACTGCCAGGCCCGGGGCTGGTGTCAGGGCGCCGCTGACGTGGTCCTGGGTGGGTCTTGCCGCCCTCACCGGCTGGCTGAGGAGGGAGGAGCATGTGCCTGAGGTCGCACTGGCAGGAGGTGCTGCAGCCAGGCCGCTCTGCGGTCGTGTCTCTGTCGTGGTCTTTGAGTGTCTGGTCTTCACATGTAGCAGGTCTCAGTGAATGTTTGTGGGGTTAGGAAAATGCTTAATCAGAAACTTATCTCTTTGCATGAGATTATTTTTATAGTTTCACAGGGAGCTGAATCCTTGAGATTTAGTCAAGGGAATCTTTGGAAGGTCTTGAAAAAGACACAGTTTTCCATTTTTAATTTCTCCAAAGAATTAGTGCTGTTTCTTTTAAAACGTCTCGTTGGTGCTGGAAGCTCCAAAGCAGTAGCCGCTGGGCCGGTTTCTGAACTTGGGAGCAGCGCGCCCACTGAGGGTGCGGTCTGGTGTTGGTTGGTGTGCTTTCATGGTGGGGGTGGTGCGCAGAGTGGATTTCTGTGGTGGGTTTGCGTTGGAAACGTCGCAGGTCCGTGCCGGAAGTGCGGGTTTGGGAGACGCTGCCGGAGGGTGTGGGCGGTCGTGCCGGAGGGATGGCGAAGGGCCTCGCTGGGCTCCGCTGCGCGAGTTCTTTGTGCCTCTGCCCCTGTTTGCCCGGGGCCTGGGGAGCCCTGGGCTCGGGCTGACCGGGTGGGCTTGTGCGCAGCTCCCAAGGTGAGCGTTCACTGGCACTTTTTTAAAGTGTGTTAGTGTTCATCATTTCCCCAAGGGTACTCTGATTGTTTAAATTAATTGAATAACAGATATCGGAAGGGTGTTAGGACGCACGGTGAAGACTGAATGAAGAGGGACGCTGCTAGACTTAACTTCTACTCAAGCTGCTAAGTGCTGCCTCAGGCCAGGCCCGTGCCCGCTGCTCAGGGAGCGTGAGATTTGGGCAGCAGAGTGGCTGGGGCCGTCGGGGGCCCTGTGGGGCCAGCCCGCAGTCAGACGAGGCAGGCCCCTTCCCCACTGGCCCCCGCAGGTGGCCGAGGTCTGCTCTGACGTGGCGGCTTGCTGTGCAGCCGGGTGGAGGGTTGAGTGAGTCGTCGACTGACACAGGCCGACTCTGCGGTGTCCCCAGAGCCGAGACCACGTGTGCCCGGCTCCTGAGGGGCTGTGCTCCGGGGGAGTTCACGGTCCTCTGGGCAGCTCCTATGGTGTGGCAGAGAGAAGACAGTGTTGAGGTTGGGGAGAGTGGGATTCCAAGTCTTGTGTCCCTGGTACTGGGTAACATAACCTTAGGAAACGTCCCTCCCTTGGTCTGGAGGACTGGGGCAGTGGCGCAGAGCGCCTGGTGGCTGTGGCGCCTGCAGGGCCAGGCAGCGGGTGCGGGGAGTCAGCAGGGGTGCCCTGGACGCCCACTCACCAGCAGCTTGACAGAACTTCCCGGTCTTGTAGGGGCCCAAGGTAACCAGAGCTCCCCGTTCCTTTTCCAGACCTCTTTCCTCCGCTGGCCGCACCCACCAGCAGCCTCGGTGGCCCCACGGACCTGGCAGCTCTCTTCTCCGACCCACCGGGGGAGGGCGGTGGTGCAGCCGGGGCCCCTGACGAGGTGCTGAGCGCTGGAATCCTGACCATCGACGTGACTTCTGTGAGCTCCTCTCTCGGAGGGAGCCTCCCTGCCAGTCATGGGTCCTTGGGGCCGATGGACCCGCTGGTCTTGGTGGCCCACAGTGACGTTCCCCCGAGCCTGGACGGCCCCCTCGTCCTCGGGACGGCAGCCGCAGTCCTGCAGCCGAGCAGCTTTGTTGTGGACGACGTGCAGGCTGCGGGCGCGCTGGGCTGTCTCCTGGCTCTGCCCCTGGGGAACTTGAGCCAGGACCCACAGGCCTTGACCGCCAGCAGCAGTCCTGCCGCCAGCGCCTCCCTGCTGACCTCGGCAGGCAGCCCCCAGGGAAGCACCAGTGTCCCGGAGCTGCTGGTTCCAATCAAAGTGGAGCCGGACTTGCCTCCTGGCCCCGACGCTGCCGGGCGGCCGCAGCACAGTGGAGGGGCGGCCCGACCCGTGGAGGAGCCCAGTCTCCAGAGAGACGTGGGGCGCGGTGCGGGGACCGGCAGCTTGTACTTGGTATGACGCGCTCTGTTCAGTCACCAGCACGTAGCTCTCGCCTCACAGCCGCCTGGCAGTGTTTCGGATAACCCTTTCTGTGCAGACGTTCTCTCTGGTGCGCGGCAGGACAGAGCCTGGGCCGCGCTCTGGAAATCTGCATCCTGCCCTCCAGGCTGGAACTGACTGGGTTTCACAGCCTTGAGCAAATCGCTGACCCTGTCTGAGCCTTAAATTCTCACTTGTTTCTAAAATGAGGGTCTTTGGGCGACACGATTTCTAAGGTCTTTGTGAGTTCTGTGATTTCGTGACAACGTGTGTCTTTTCCTGAAGAACATCTGGGGTATTTGACAACGTTGAAATGTCCTGCCCTTGAGTTTGTCACGCAGTGTCGGTCCTTAGACATGCTCGTGACCAGGAGGAATCGCGACAGCAGCTGTCGTTAAGATTTGACAAACCAGAACTACGCAGAAAATTTAATGAGAATTAACAGGAGAAGGGGGTGGTCTGCGAGCCTGGTTTGTGGAGAGTTGAAAGAGCACTTCTTCGATTCTCAGGCTCGACAGTTAACACGCTTTAGTTGTATTTATATCAGCTGGACGTTTACTGTGACGTAATTTGAAGTCACTTGACCAGAGGCCCTTCGGAGGGGCTTTCCTCGGTCTCCGGTGTGAATGGCCCTGTAGCTTTTCTCTGTGGTGCAGGTTAGATTCGTTGGTGATGCTTGTTATTTAAAAAGTTAACTCTTACTTTACCACAATTTTTTAAAAAGCGAATTCCTCTGTGTTTCTGTCAGCCATAAGAGACGTGGCAGCCCCTCGTCCACGGAGCCAGGGCTCACTTGTTCTGCCTGAGCAGCAGTCACTTGTCGCCAGCCAGGCCCGGCAGGGCGGGGGTTGGGGCGGCTGCAGGAGGGGCGCTCGCGGACCCTGACCCTGACCCTGTCCGTTCTCTCGCCAGCTCTGTGACGCTGGGCTGCCGCAGTTCCCCGAGCACAGATGGCGAGTGGTGGACGGGCCCCAGGTACAGCCCAGCCCCGCCGTGGGTCTCCTGTGGGCGCTTCCACACCCGCACGGCGGGCCCCTTGAGACCGAGTGGAGCCCCTGGAGCCCCGCGGCCCCTTCTGAGATGAGAGGCGGTGGGAAGTGAGCCCTGGCCGCCGGGGGCGGGCTGCCCCATGGGTTCCAGCCGCGGGGGGGTGTCGTGCGTTTTATATGCGTTTCTGTGTACAGTCTTTTGATATGTTTTAGACTTTGGAGGAATAAACTTTGCTTCTCTGGATAATAAAACCCTGCCTAGTTCCAACTCTGGTTCCGCCCAGCTGTCAGTGTCACTGTCACTGTCACCAGACGTGGCGTTTGGTTCTCTGCCAGCCTCTGCAGGAGCCCGTGTTGAGGACGCAGCCCTGACCCCGCCTCTGCCGTCTGGATCCAGTGACTGACATGCTTTTCTTTGGTCTCAGGAAGGCGGGGGCCCAGCGAGAACTGACTCCAGAGCCATTCAGCAAGCCCAGGAAAGAAAGCAGAGAGGAGCTGGGGGCCACGCAGGTGAGGCTGCGCGCGGGGCAGCAGCCGGGCTGAGGGCGGGCGGCGGGCGGCCTCACGGGTGCCCAGCTCAGGAAACCCTCTCCTGGCAAACGTCAGCGCCTTCTTTGGAGCTTTTAAAAAAACATCTGAGTGCATCAGACAAGACCTGCTGGTCTGTGGCCTCATCCGCCTGCCCTGAAAGTGAGACAGGGAAACCGTGTAAAGCCTTTTGTGAAGGTAACGCTGGGTTCTTCGAATGTTACTTTGTAAATTTCACTTTTCTTTTATGCTTGTGTAGAATTTTTGTAGAAACATTGAGAGTTACGTAGGTTATCAGTATGCAATTTTGCATTTTTCTGTTCTTAATGTAGTTCATTTCAAGTAATGTTAACTCCCTACTTCTTGTCAGTCAGGTTTTTTTTTAAAGCAAATACTGTCCCATGACGAACGTGGTGTCACCGTCACTGTCCCTGTGTCTGAGCAGGGCCTGCAGTCGCGAGGCAGGCGCGCCTGCAGAGAGGGCGGGTCCGTGGTGGGCGGAGTTAGGGGACTGGGATGCGGCGGCATCGGGGAGGTGGCTGCGTTGTCATCACTGCTTCTGTTAGTACTTCAGCATCGGCTTTTAAGCAGGTAGGGACACTGACCACAGGCACGTCCTGTTCCTGCCTCTGTAAGAGTTAACGGTACATTTTCCTTAAAATCAGTGTCTAGCGAGTGTCATAATTCTCACTGGTTTCAGACGCATCCGTGTTTTCTGTCTCTCTTTGAGTCAGTCCGGGTGGGGCCCCTGTGTCACTGCTGGTGGGTGCGTTTTCAGGTCTCGTTCACATTCGTTGGTTCCCGTCCCTCCCGCATGTGTGGGAGTGTCTGGGTGGTCTGTGCGGCTGACGCGTCGGCTTCACAGGCTCCTTCACCTCCGTGTTCCCTGGAGGTCGGTCGTGACTGCCAGAGCCCTGCTCTGGAGTGAGGGCCTGGGGGCAAGTGTGCAGGCGGTGAGGTCTGTGCTGCGGCCCTGATGCCTGGTCCCTGTTGTGCGTGGCTGTGGACACCCAGGATTCTGGGCCTGTTCGTCCCAGGGGCTGCGGGAGGGTGGTCTGTGCTCTTTCTGTGTCATTTCATACGGGGAAGTCAGGGCAAATGTCTGAGTCTTTCTCTGTCGGTTTTCAAAATAATGAGCTGGTTTCTCTGCATCCTCCAGGCGTGGTCAGAGTGTTTTTATCTGCTCGTTGATGTGAGCAATTTATTAAGGGAAATAGAAGTCTGGAACCTGCCAGGTGCCGCCTTCATTGTGAAGACAGCAGTGGAGGCTCACCTTTGCCCTGTCTCCTCGGAGCCCTGCCTGGCGTGGAGGGTGGCTCCCGTGCCCTTGTTCCTGCGCTGGCGTCACAGTGGTTTTCACCAGGTTGTGTGAGGAGAGCTGTCCCTCACCCTCTGCTCATTCAGTTGCATCAGGACGGATGCAGGGGTGTTCACTGTGCCCTTTCAGTTACTGTGATCAATCCTGGATTATAATCGGTATGTCAGTGTTTATTTTGCTGCCCAAATTGTTCCAGCTTTGGCTGCTGAGAGCCCTGGCAGTTGGACTCCTGTCCTGGCCTTGGGGGCACTTCCCTGACTTCCTCGCACCACCAGGCTCGCCTGATGATACCCTGACCCCAGCCCCGGAATCAGCTGCGTCTCTGGGGCCCGGTTCCTTTCCTGGGCGTCTCAGAACTGAGGCCCGGGTGTGGTGTGTGCTTACACGCAGTGCCCCTGGACATGGCTGCATCGAGACACGCGGTGGGCGGTGCTGGGAAGTGGATTCATGCAGGTTGACCCATGCTGCTGGTTTTGAATTTGGAATGTCTTGCACTTTAGGACGGTAACACGGTGATGTGGTTCTGTGGTTCTTAGCACGACCAGTTCTGAGTTGACACACATTAACTCAAGTGGAGTCAAGGCAACAAATAGTTTTCTGGTGTGTTCAGGTCACGTGTTGCTGCTACGTTAGTGTTGGCAGCAAACTTGGGAAAAACCTGGGTTTGGGGGCTTTTGGGTTTCAGGACGTGGTGCAGTAGGTCCGAGAACGGAGAAGCTGCAGGAGCAGGACTGTTCTGGTCGTGTAAACACAGTCCGTGTAGCTCAGTGCAAAGTGCGCCTCGATTCTTAGGAAATGTGTGCTCTGAACGTGGTGCAAAATGGGATGTAGGGTCTGAAACCAAGGCAGTTCCCTTTGGGTTGCTCTCCAGTGTGGAAAAGTTCTTTATCTTCAGTATCGAGGCTCTCCCCCAAATAAGCCAGAAATGTTTTCTCAACATAAAAAAGAAACTTTTGTCCTTGAAACTGATAGCAAAGTAAGCTTGAAAAAAACCGCGTGAGCTCTCTGCACCCCGAGGGCAGGGGCCCTGGGAGGAAGGCGCGGTGCTCACCCCGGCAGCCCCACGACGGCGGCAGAGACGGTGGCGTGCGCGGGGCCCCCTGGCTTTTGCCGGGGCCAGAGAGCAAAATCCCAACCATGTGTCGTCCAGAAGAGACCTGTTCTGGACGGAAGTAGTTAGAAGGTTAGAGTTAAGGGGAAACAAAGTGAAACCCCGAAGTCACACAGCAGGGGTTCATGCTAACGCCAGAGTGCAGAACCCAGAGGAGCCTGGGGGGGGAAGCAGCTTGGCCCTCACAGTGGCAGCAACAGCTGCGAAAGACCCAGGAGATCGTTCCACAAAGTGGGCAGGCCCCGAAGGAGGCGAGGATGGGACTGGCCCGAGAGGCAGCAGAGAGAGGGCTCCTGGGGCTGTGCCCAGGCCGCGGGCTGGATGGACACGCGGGGCACAGACAGTGGATAATGAGGGACGGCGGTAAGTCGGACGGTGACCGTGAGCACAACAGGAAGGTCAGGCAGAGGCCCTGCTGCGAGGAGGGGTCCGCGTGGACCAGTCTGGGCGAAGGACAGCCCTTGTGAGGCCCGAGTCCAGGGGTGCGGTCAGCACAGGGTCTTTGTCCAGGTGACTGAGCCCAGGGAGCGTGTTTGGGGACGTGCTCGGAGCTGGATGGAGGCCAGGCTGTGGGGTCCCGGGGCCCCATCAGACTTGGGCTTCCCCGAGAGCCAGGTGGGCCGTCAGAGGGCGTCATTAGAAGAGGGACGTGGTAGTTTTTAAAGGATCATGCCAGCTGCTCTGCTGAAAATAAACCATAGGGACAGGGAGGCAGCGGGGAGATCAGGGGTCCTGGGGTCCCCCCGCCTAGGTCAGCATGGTGTGAGTGGGGAGGCCTGCTCAGGGGACAGAGCCAGCGTGGAGCCAGGTCCCAGGGGCAGACGGGCTGCCTCCTCCTGCACTGTTTCAGCGGAGCCGCCAGGGCGACTGCAGAGCAGTCAGGTAGGAACCTGTGGGCCAGGACTCCTGGGGCAACAGAAGCCAGGCGTAGGGTCCCCGCTGCGCCTGCTGGGACGTCTCACAGCCACCCAGGAGTGGTGACAGCCCGGCCCTGACCCCCCGGGAGTGGGCAGAGCAGCACTTCTGAGACAGGGCGCTCCTTCAGTCCCTGCGAGTGAGGATGGCCTTGGGGGAGAGGTGCCAGTTTACAGGACGTGGACCGCAGGGGTGAGGGGAGAGGTGCTCTGTCCCGGGCATGCCACATGGTCGCGCACGTTGAATGCCCCCAGAGAGCCTTGGACAGACTCTGACCACAGACCCTCCACAGGGCTGTGCTGGAGCAGAACAGCAGGAGCCCAGGGAGACCTGGAGTCCCCACCGACGCCAGACGAGGCGGCTGGTACAAGGCTTCATTGCTAATGGGGGACGTCACAAGCCTTAACCAGTGGGGACCAGGAAGGTTTCCCCGTAAGCAAGTGCCACTGGCCACCAGCTGTGTCTTTCCCCGCTGTGCGCAGGCGGGGAAGGGGCAGCCGGGCAGCGAGGGCGGGCATTTCACCGGGGTGGGGATTAGGGGAACGCAGGGGAACGGGAAGGAGCAGCGATGACTTTCCCGTGATCGGAAAACCCAAGGGAGCCAACCGAGGTGGTCTGAAGCAGGAGCAGGGTTAGGTAGCTCGCTGTACAGTAACTTTGCGAGTATCAGGTCAGGAGCTTTTCTGTTAGAATATTCAGAAAAAACAATGAAAGGTGAGTGTCACTCACGGTAGCAGTAAAAGTGGTGACGTGTCTCGGGATCACCGGTGACAGACGCACTGCGCCTGTGTGAGGCCCGCTTAGCGCCTGCCCTGGGCCTGGATGCAAGCTGTTTTCAGTGTTAATCTACATCGTTTATTCAGTTCCTTTAAAGCCCCAAAGGAACTTGCAGGAAAACCCCTGTAAGTCTTCAGTTCATCGGGAAGAACGACTTGGTGAGACTCTCCGAGCATCTTCGGAAAAGAAAATGCTAGGAGGCGCTGGGCCTAGGTCCAGGCGCCTGGGGGGTCTGAGGTGGGCCGGCCCGAGGGGCGGGGGCACGCGGGGACGGGTGTGGGCGTGTGGTGAGTGGGCCTGGCAGCGCCGGGTTCCTCTCTGGGAAGATGAAGGTGGCTTCTTACCCCCCTGCAGCCCACCCCCCAGGGAACACCACGTCCTCACGCTGTGATGTTCATCTTCCTCCTGTGAACGCGTTTTGAAGAAACGATACACATTTCCTGCTTTTTGCTGCTAACAGCAGGAGTATCTTTCCTTGTGATGAAGCACATTTTGTAGGGCGTCTTCTCACGGGCTGTGTAGGCTTAAACACGTAAGGAACTGAGAGAATTGCCCCCGGTGCCCCCACTGCCCGTGACAGTGGGGGCGCTGTGAGAGCCCCTGTCCCTGGGAGAGTCGAGGGCATGGTCCCTCTGGTCCAGACGAGGACCTCGGGACTCCCCTGCACTGGGGGCGGGTTGGGCGGGTGAGGCCTCTCCTCTGCGGGGGTAGAGGGCCGGCCGGTGCCCGGGGGCCTCAGTGCAGGGCCTTGGTTACGAGGCCCTCGCGGGCACCCGTCCACGCCAGGCTCTGTGCTGCCGGCCTCACCCAGTTCTTGCTGTGGCTCTGGGAGGCGGGACGGGGCTCAGGCGGCTCATGGACAAGCCAGTGGGTGCGGGGCCGCACAGACGGGCCAGCTGGCTCTGCTAGTGACGTGCTCATTGCCCTGGGGGTCTTCTGAGGTCCGCGTACCAGAAGTGTCCTTGCTGGCTGGACTCCCTTCCCGAAAGTTCCCCCGTGAAGATCAGCGTTTCAGATAAACGTGGAGAACGCTGAGGCTAAATTCAGTTCAGTGCGAAGACAGCCTCGCCCTGTAAGAGTCTGTGCATTTCCACCATGAGAAAGGAAGTTTTGACTTTTCTGGTGATCAGTGTAAGTCAGTCACGTTGCGTTTAGTGCCGTGGTCCTTTACTGGTGGGGACTCGGGGCTGTGGGGTCGTCGTGGGTTCTGCGTGGAGACCCTTGTTTGTTCAGCCTGCCTTCCAGTACCCACAGGGAGACGGGTGTCCTTAACCAGCTCCGGGTGAGGGAGTGGCTTTCACTGCCTTGAACGTTGATGATGCATTGTCAGGTGGCACAGAGTCTTTCGGGTCATGTGACCCCCACCCCGACAGCCCTGACTGTGAAGGTGTTCTCCCCTGAGCAGTGGGTCGGGGGGTGCCTGGCATCCATGGGGGTCGCTGTCCCTTCCTGTGGCCCTGCCTCCTTCCCTTGCAGCCTCCTCACATGCACAGTGGCACGCGGCCTGGGGCTGGGACCATGAGGAGGTGTCCCCTCTGCAGTGACCTTTCCTGACCTTGAGTTGCCTAGGGAGGTGCGTCAAGTCCAGGAGCTCTGCAGGCTGTCTGGCACTTTCCTTCCGGAGGTGGCCTCTGCGTCCAAAACCAGTCACCTCCCGCGTCACCTGGCAGGGAGGGGGTACACGAGCCAGTGTCTCCTGGAGCCCCTCAGCTAGGCCCCTTGGGCCGGCCCAGGGACAAGTCTGTGCGGGTGGACCCAGGCCAGCTGCCCGTCCCCCCGTGGGCCTCCCCAGGGGTGAGCGTTGTGCAGGGGCCGGGGGTGTGCCTTCACCGCAGCCTTGCCTTTCGCAGCCTCTGCTGTTGCCCTGCAGGAGCAGCTGCCTAAGGCGAGAGCCCCGGGCGGGCCGCAGCGTCCAGTGGCCACACGAGCCTGGCCTTCTGCCCTGGGACGCGGGAGTGACTGGAGAGAAGGGACCCTGGCGTTCGAGCCCCACCCTCAGCCACAGTGGCCCTTTTGAATGTGACGTGGTGTCCGTGGGGTCACCGGGCTCTCGGACGCTGGAATGAAGGTGTATCTTGAGGATTTATTTGGTTTCTGTTGGATTGAGTGTGTGGTTGACACTGTTGTGAGAACTGGTCCTGTTTGCCGTCGTGAGTCAGCACCTCTGCACCGTCTCAGCGACAGTGCGGTCGGGCTCCAGTTCCCGACCGGTGTTGCAGCAGCGTAGACCCTGTCTTCCCACGAGTATGAAGAGAACATGGCATCATGGTGTCTGGGAAATGAGTGGAGTTCACTGCTGATCGGTCTCGTGGCTTTTCCTCAGTTTCCCTGTAGTTGAATAGCCTGCACGCCCATGTTTGTGAGTGAAAGCCAGGCTTTGAGCATAGGTGCTGCTTCGTGGGTAACATGGGGCGACCGCCACAGCGGGCTCTGAGTCACCGTGGGATCAGCAGGAGGCTCGGGTTCCTCTTGTTTGTCATGAGACTGGACGGTGATGTTAGGCAGACGTCATCTAAGCCTCGCCTGCTTTTAAAAGGAACTTGAGAAGAGGCATTTGATGCCTTCCTGAGTTACTCCGTAGTGGCTGTCAGGGTAGGGTCTTCCTTTAGACGTTTCTCAGTGTGTTTATCTGATTACAAGATGGGGTCAGACCTCTGTCAAAAGCGAGGCAGGCCGTGCTGCCTGGGCTCCGTGGGAGCGGAGGGGCCGAATCTGTTGCAGGAGCTGTGATGGAAGGACCCTAGGCGCACAAGCATGGTCACGGCTCTTCTGGTCAGCAAAGGTGTGTGCTGAGCGCGTCTCAGGAGGAAGTGCTTGTGGCAGACACAGGGCTGCCTGGAGCCAGGCCGTCAGCTGCGCTGCGTTTTCAGTACAGTTTTGCTTTTAAGGTTTTGTAATTACCAGAGTGTCTGATATATTTTGTTACTTTGATCAAGTCTGCCTAATAATTGCAGCAGTAACTCAGTTTTTCAGACGAGGCATTTTCACTTCTAGAAAGCATATTTAAACAAACAAAATTTCAATTTATGTACATATTTTCATCTCAGGGAAACATGCTAGACTGCTCAAAGACTCCAGAGCATAACTGTGTGTTCAGGTTTGGTCCCAGAGGCGGCTGGCGCAGCACACGCCCCAGGAGAGCTGGGGGTGGGGGAGAATATCCTAACTGAAGGACGAGTGAGTTCTGCCCAGCCCCAGCTTGTCCTGAGCGAAGGCACCAGGACAGGAGAACCCTGGGGACAGTCGGGGTGATGGGCCTCCGGGGCCAGGAACCTGGCGGTGGACCAGGAAAGGGAGTGCTCAGGGCTGGGGAAGCCTGCCACCAGGGAGCAGAGCCCACCATGCCTGTTTGGGGCCAAGACCGAAACCCGGACGAGTGTCCAGCCCCTTGTGTTCTTCGCCGTTTTTCTTTGACTGGAGAGCAGTTAGAAATTTTCATGAAGAACTATTTTCTACAAATTCACCAGGTCCTTCAGACTTGCCTGTTCTTTCCATTTGGTTAAATTCAGCAGAATTTAATGCTTTTATTAAGGTTAACCTGCGCGATGTTCATTGCAAAACTGTCTTTGTGCAGCCGGTCCCGGCCTGGGGTCCACCCAGCAGGGACGGCGCCTGAAGTCCCTCCTGCTGGCTGTGAGTGTGGCACATGCGCCTGTTCAGCCCTCCCTGCGCCCTGGAGCCGAGAACCCAGCCAGGGCTCCCCTTGCTGGTCCTGGGTCAGGCAGGGGGCGGTGGTGGGGCTGGGACTCGGATCCAGGTGGTTGGTCTCTGCCTCCAGGGTTCCTGTGTCAAAAACCCTTTCTGGGTGTTTGGGGTTTTTCTTTCTTCTTTATATTTAATTTTTTAAAACTGTGTTTTTACAAAACCGAGACTGATGATTTATGAAGGACACTGGACAGGAGGTGTCTGGTGGGTGCAGGTGTCGGGGGGTTGCAGTGGCTTCCCCCTCCTGCCTTCCTGCAAGGCTAGATGTGCTCAGTGGTGTCGGGGCCGCGTGCCGAGGGCCGCTGGAGCCTGACGGTGAGGGGGAGTCTGCCCCCCGGAGCAGCAGGTCAGTGCTGTCTGTGCGGGAGACCAGTGTCCTCATCTTCCTGCTCTGCCCTCCTGGTTACTCTGGTCACTGGTGACAGAGTGACAGGGTCTGCAGGGCGGGCAGAGCTGCACTCAGGACCTCGTGTGTGTTTCAGGAGCTGCAGGGGCTGCTCGGAGTGAAGGGCAAGGGGATCCAGGCCCGGCCAGCCCGAGCGGCTTGCTGTGGGGGAGCCTCGTGGTTCCCGGCGGGGCTCTGCCTGGACCCGCCCCCGCTGGGGTGCCGTGCGTCCAGGTCCAGCTGCTGCAGGTGAGAGTGGTGGGGGAGGGCTGGGGGCAGGCAGGGGGTGTCCCTGAGCAACCCCCCCACCCTGGGCCAGCTTTGCCCTCCTTCCCAACTGTCACACTGCGTGGCCAAACTTTCCCCTTGGCCCTGCCCCCCACCCCCCGCCGTGGGACCAGGGCGGGTGAAGGCAGCTGTCACCCCATCTCCAGGGTGGCACCAGGAGGCCTTTGTGGGAAGGGTGCTGGCTTGTGTTTCCCTCCTGTCTTCTCTCCACACTGAGCCCTCAGGGCAGGGCCACGGGTACCTGCAGCTGGGCTGGAAGATGGTCTGGGGAGAGAAGGGGCTGGACTGCTGAGGACATGGGGCTCTGACCTGGCCGGTCACCTGCCGCCTCCTCATTGAGCACCTTCTGTGTACTCGGCTCTTGGGCCACTGGGCCTGGGTGGGGGCGAGGGCATGAGGACCCGGGGAGGCTGGTGGCCCAGCCCCCAGCTCCAGCCACTGCTGGGTTCAGGCCTCACCTGGGTCCAGCTGTTGCCTCTCCTGAACAATGCTGGTTTCCAGAAAGGGCTGGTTCTGCCAGTCCCCAGTGAGGGGCCCTGGGTCAGGTGCGGAGTCACTGACGCGGTGCTGTTGCCTCCCCAGGACGCCCCGGTGGGTGACGTGGTCCTGCCGGTGGCGCTCAGCCCGCAGCCTCCTGCCCTGCACCCGCTGTTTGCTGTCGACGTGCCCATCTACGCCCTGCAGGTCTGGAAGCCGCACGGCTCTGCTTGGCTTAGACTGGGTCGGTCTGTCCCTGGGGTGGCCTCGCCCGACCCCGCGGGCTGGGTGGCGGGGTGGTTGTCCGCTTTCTAGGAAAACTGGGTGAGTGGCCGAGAAAAGTGCTGAGAAAGCTCGGCCACGTGCCGCAGACGGGGTGGGATTCCACACGCCTTTGAGAGGCTTCTCGCTTGGAAACTGGTTCTTTTCTCCTCTGGAGGGAGCCTGCGGGGAGACAGACCTGGACAAATCAAATTGTTTGCTTGAATGAGTGGTCAAGCCAAGAATGGGTGGCCGTGGACAGGTCAGAATTGGGTACAGAATAATGAGCGTGTAGCCAGCAGATTTCAAACAGGTGTTTTAAAAATCAGTACAAGGAGTAACTGTAGATTTCTTTACGTTCAAATCGGGCTGTTCAGCACTTTCCATGATGTCCAAGTCCATGCTGGATGGAGTGCTGTTCGAGGTGGGGTGACCTGGAGGGCTCGGCGACGAGTGTCCTCGGCCTGTGGGGCGTTATTGTCTCAGGGCTGCCCTTGAGGAGGGTGGGTTGGTCACCACAAGTCAGCCAGAAGGCGGTGACCTCACCTGCGCTCTGGGGCTTCCTATAGGAGGAAGCGGGCCGGGGTGACATTGTGGCCGTGAGCTAGGCAGGCAGGCAGGCAGCTGGTGATGGTGGTTGCGCCCCCAGGGAGGGGTCACAGATGAAAGGGGGCCAGTCCGATCTTGAGGCCTGGCACTCAGGGCTGAGCACACCTTCCCTGGTTTTCTTCACGTTAATGTTTTCTTCTACAAGGACGCGTGCTTGGAAGGGGAGGCAGTTTTCTCAGTTCGGGTGGGGGTGCCCATGCCCGCCCCTCATGCTCTGCTTGCTTCTCCAGGAGGCGCTGCCCGCGGCTGGAGGGGCCGCCGGGCCCGAGGACG